AGACAGACCACAGTTTGTCTGACTTGGCAGTGTTCAGTCTGGAATGGTGGAGAGTAGTACAGGAGCTCCACAGGGGACTGTGCTGTCTCCTTTCCTTTTCACCTTGTACACCTCTGACTTTCAGTACAACTCCAGGTCATGCCACTCGCAGAAGTTTTCTGATGACTCTGCAGTGGTTGGGTGTCTAAGTGATGGGCAAGAGGGGGAGTACAGAGAGCTGGTTGATAACTTTGTGGAGTGGACAGGAAGAAATCACCTGATTCTGAATGTGGATAAGACCAGGGAGATGGTGATTGTTGCCAGTGCGCTGTTCTCTGCTGTGGTCTGCTGGGGGAGCAGCATTGGAGCTGGTGACACTAAGAGACTGGACAAACTCATGAAGTAGGCCTGCTCTGTGATAGGCTGCAAGCTGGACTCTTTTGTAGTGGTGACAGAGAGGAGGACTCTGAACAAACTGTTATCCATTATGGATAATCCTGATCACCCTCTGCACACCCTACTGGACAAACAGCGGAGCAGCTTCTCCAACAGACTGATACAACTCTGCTGTCACAAGGACAGATACAAGAAATCCTTCTTCTCGAAGGCCATAACTCTGTACAACAGCTCACCTCATGTGAGCAGAGAACTGTCATCATGATCATATCTCTCTCTCCACACTGTCATCTGTTCTGCACATGCAAAGTTTACAACTTATCACTGCACTCAAGTTCACTTCATTTGTCATTATATTTAATAGTTTCAGCTGATAACATGTCTACACTCCTGCACTTTAACATTTGTATCATTGACTTGCACAGCTCTGGACTGCTCTCTATATCAATAATGCAAAAAAACTTACTGCAAAGAGCCACATGATACACACAGGCACACATGAACAGCCCCCTGTCCCTTCACCTCTCTTTTGCTCTCTGCCTCACTCTCGTCCTCCTCCTCCACGTTCTTCTCTATTTCTCTCTCAAACACACAGATTTAAAATTAAAAAATAACAATAGCCTTGACACTGACAGACACACAGACAGAAACACACACACACACACACACACAGAAACACACACACACACACACAGACAGAAACACACACACACAGACAGAAACACACACACACACACAGAAACACACAGACAGACACACACACACACACAGACAGAAACACACACACACAGACAGAAACACACACACACACACACCCTCACACAGACAGACACACACACACACACACACACACACACCCTCACACAGACAGAAACACACACACCCTCACACAGACAGAAACACACACACCCTCACACAGACAGAAAGACACAGACACACACACACACACACACACACACAGACACACAGAGACACACACACACACACACACACACACAGAAAGAGACACACACACCCTCACACAGAGACACACACACACACACACAGAGACACACACACCCTCACACACACACAGAGACACACACACACACACACAGACACACACACACCCTCACACACACACACACACAGAGACACACACACCCTCACACAGAGACACACACAGACACACACACACACACACACACAGAGACACACAGAGACACACACACACACACACACACACACACACAGAGAGACACACACACCTCTGCTCAGACACATTTACTGTAAATGTCACACACCAACATGACTTAAAACTAAGACCACAGGCCAGTCATTGTCAACAAGGAACATTGTGTGCACTGTCTCACACACACAAACTCTCAGTTCAATCAAGTCCACAAACAAAAAAATAACAATTTACAATAGCATCAATAACAACATTTTTAATCTTACTATGCATGTTGGTTCTTAGTGGGACGTCTGGCATTCCTTGCCTTGAACAATCCTCTTCAAATCTGGCTTGTATTCCGTTGTGACCACTCGAAGCAATTCTTTCACGTGTGTGTCAGAACAGATCGATGTTTTGATTTCACGTGTTTCAGGGTAGAAAACACAGACTCTCACACGTATGTTGACCCAAACATTGACAGTAGCTTGAGCGCAGCCCGTTTGACATTGGGGTATTTTTCCATTGGCACACTCTTCCAGAACTCAATGGTCCGTTCCCTTAGAACAGGTTTCAGATGGTCCTCCTCACAAAGATCGATCATCTCCAACTCGGCCGCTGCCTCGTCTGTGACTAGCGGTTCTTTCAAACAGTCCGTCTCTGCATTAAACGGGTCGACGAGGAACGTAATCTGTGGCCTTTTCAGCTGTAGATCACAGAACCGGGTCACAAAGCTGTCGTGAAGGTCTTCAACCAGTGTTGCATATCTGGCTGTTTGCTTTTCAGGGCGGCGCTGGTGGCTTGCCTGCTTGCTTTTAGCAATGCGGGAAAATACACTAACCCCTTTGAATATGTGTCTCGAACAGCTTCAGTTTGTTGACAAACGCAAACACACTTTGCACCAGGTCAGGCAGCAACTGTGTCTGCTTCTCTGCCTGATTTTTCAAAATGTTTAACTTGTGCTGGTGAAGCTCAGTACCTTTTGGAAATTCCTGGTCGACGTTAGCATGGAGTGAGCTGAAGTGACGCTGAAGATTTGAAGCCTTGAAATGCGCTAATGTGGCATATAAGGCAGAGTGGCTTGCCATTACGTTGAACGAAGAAATATAAACTCTCCCACTCTGTTAAAACGTCCTGTGTTCATCTTCATATTTTCGTTTTGCTGTGCTGTGCCATTTTCAGAGCGAACTTGGCTTGTTTCACACTCAACAATTAGGCCCTCCCTCCCTCAAAGCTGATTGGTTCACAGGCATTTTTGTGATTGGCTCTCAGGCTACATCAAACTTAGACATGCTGTCATGCTCTCATACTGACGGGCACGGGCAATTTTTAACACAAATACAATGGATGGGCCTAACATTGCTAAAAAAAAAAAAAGAACACACAAAATGAACTGAGGAGCCGCATGAGACCGGACAAAGAGCCACATGAGACCGGGCAAAGAGCCACATGAGACCGGGCAAAGAGCCACATGAGACCGGGCAAAGAGCCACATGAGACCGGGCAAAGAGCCACATGAGACCGGGCAAAGAGCCACATGAGACCGGGCAAAGAGCCGCATGCGGCTCGGGAGCCGCGGGTTGGCCAGGCCTGCTTTAGCCCAATATGAGGAGATGATTTATTTCCCCCAGGAAGGTCTGATGGAGGTTTTAAAATTTGGGCTGACAAAGGACAAAATATGGCATAACCCTTCTTTATTCTTTAAATACTTACAATTGAGGAACTTCATAAAAACAGAGGAAAATCAGTCATTGTCTATCCCTCGCATGTCAACAATAGGAAAGATAAAGGAAGGACTGTTGGGGGAGAGGAATCATCTCCAAGATCTATGACCTTCTCTTAGAAAAGTCCTCAGTCATCTGTAAAGAGGCTTGAGGGATGGAAGGAAGACTTGCAGGAAGACATCACTGTTGACGAGTGGACAAATACATGTGCTAAAGCGCAATCACAGACACTTCACACACGTCTTAAATTGATACAGTATCACTGGCTAATGACAACACACATAACCCCAGAAAAACAGAAAACAACTTTGAACAAAACGAAACACAATACTACCTTGACTTCCCACTTGTTGGCCCATGTACCAATGGACCTTTTCTGCCAGCTGCCCAAAAGAACCAGATGTGATTTGCAGTTGTGTATACTTTTAGTCAGGGTAGTGGTAAAGTGAAAAAGGTGTGTCCAGGCCATCTACGTGCCTGGGCCTAAAACTGTCTGATATTAAGACAGTAACGCAAATGTCCTCAGTTGTTATAATGATTTCCTTGCGTTAGTTTCCCCCAAAGAACCCTCCCCGACTGCCCAATGTTTCATTACTCTAATTATAATTATATTCTGTAAAGGCAAGAATGTTTAAGGTAATGGACAAAATAAAAAAGAAAGAAGGGCAACTAGTAATGATTACAGAAAGGGTCTAGCCTTTATTTTACATTAGGGCCTGGCTTTATATAATATTATGAATATAAAGCATTTTGAATATTATACTGTTAAATCATGAAAAGAATATTCACCCAATGTCTTCATGAAGAAGTCCAGCTCTTACTGTGCCCTTTTACATTTTAAAGTATATCGAGAAAAACATTTAATTTTAATTTTAGAAATACACTGGACTACCTAGTTTATTTGTCAATCTTGGATACTTCCTCTCCTCTGCTCTCACCCTTTAGTTGTATTACTAACTCTTTAACAGGCATAGCTAACTCAAAATATTCACTTTTCTGTAATTTACAGGAAAATAAAAACAAAACTGACTGAACAATCTGCTTCTGCACGTTTTCAAGCAGTCTGTGAAGTGTCCACCGTGCAGGATCTAAGTTCATTATTGAAGTTCTTGTCAGCAAAGTAAAGTCTCTTAAAGGCTTTATATATTATTTTTTGATCCAGCAGATGTCGCCCTTGAGCACCAGCATGAAACCAAAACAACTGGCGCTGCATTGTTGTGTTAGCATGCTAATGCTAGCGATCTTTATTCTGCTGGTATCTTCACACTGCATGTAAATTTACCTGAAATGAGCGTGATCTAGAAACACAGTTAAGCAGTGAGTACAGTATGTTATTCTTCTTTTCTCTAGTCCCTCAATTAAACAAATTTTATACACGAGGGGAGGAGTCAGCCGGCCGTCCTGGCGATGTAAACAAAGTGAAGATAGGACTCTGAAAACTCTGAAAACATCACAGACAGTGGGACTCGGGTGTTACACCCATTGTAGACAGTCATGACTCACAGAGTTATTTTCAGAGGATATACTTGATTTCTATATTAAAGTGTGAAAGATCACATATAAAACCTTTAAAGTCTATGAGGAGTAATTGTTTCCTTTTCTTCACACACCATGTCCAAACTTAAATTACAATAATAAACTTATTTAATGTCAGACGACCTTCACATTCATGCCTTTGTTGCAAATGATCAGATGGAGAGCGCCTCGATATCTCTCAGCAGTGTGTGTGTGAGCGACTCCCCGCCGGGGTGAAACCTGTTGATCCATCCCAGTTGGTGAAGCTCCTTTTCTATAAGCTCTGCTTCAGATAGTTTCACAGAGATGCCTAAATGCTTCAGGTGTTCTGCGGCCTCCCATGCCGAGTGGAATGTCTTCTCTCAATCTTCCAAGGTGACTCTTAGTGCGATGCGATTCCCCTCAAACTTTACATCTTTGGTACTCCAGGCGATATGTTGTTTTGTTTGAAAATCGATAAATTTAACCACGATAGATCTGGAGAAGTTCGGATTTCCTTTTTTTAATGCCGTTGATCTGTGTGCACGCTCAATGCCGAGGATTTCATCATCGGGAAGTTTTAATAGTTTTGTGGTGAATTCGAGCATGTTCTCCTTGCCCTCTGCTCCTTCCTTCACTCCATAAATCTGTAAATTGTACCTTCTTGTCTTCACAGTGTGCTTCCAATGCAGCGTTGATTGTGCATCATGTAGATTAACAGTCGGTCAGCCCGTGTTCCCTGATCTTCCACATCGCTCACTCTTTGCTCCGCTACATTCAGTCTTTTTTCCCATTTCTGTATTTGCACACTCATGTCTTTCAGGGATTCTTCAATTTTATCCAACCTTTCTGTCACGTCCTTTCTCATTCCTTTCATCTCTGCTAATCCCTCGCCAATCAAATTACCTGCAGCACCTGTTGAGTCGTTAGCTGTGGTGGCGCAGGCCTCTAGATTTGTTATAGGTTTGCTCGCACCTTCGTTTCTGTGGATGTTCTACAGAAGCCACTTAGAGAAACTTATTAAATCTGGGTTAACAGTCTGTGAGGTTGGCAGCTCTGTTCTCACGCTGCCATCTTGCAGGGGACCGGAAGTGACAGTTGTACTTTAATTATAAGATTAAGTTGAACTGTAGTAATGTCCCTATATATTCCCCAACTTATTAATCACATATGTATTTTATTTTCTGTTCTTAATCTTTCTTTTTTGTTGTTTGTGTTGATATTTGTTTTTATCTCTTTCCTTTGGTTACGTTATGACTTAACTTATTTGATAAATAATGTTGTGTACTCTGTATGTATGCTGAAAGGTAAAATAAATAAAACATTGTTGGGAAAAAAAACCCCTGACCTTTCAGGACAGTTTCCCTTTTTTCTCAGTCCTTTAAAATCAGGAAACATGTTTGTTTCTTCTTCTATGAACTACTCATATTCACTCCCATCTTGAGTTGTGTCATGTTTCTGATGTATTCTCTCTCCTGTTAGGCTTTCTCATGAAGATGTGCAGACATGATGACAAGAAGAACAATGGAGACGTTACATCTCATCACTTGGAGGGTGAGAACACTTTCTTTCATATTGTTTGTAAGCCTGAAGAAGAAGGTATCTCTACATTTTAGAATAAAGTAAGTAGGGCTGAGCCCATGTAGTCGAGTACTCCATGATGAGGTGGAGTTCACAGGGGGGTCGACATACCTTTTATTTTTTACTCTTATTTTAGGGTATATCTGAATCTTTGTTGAGATGTTCACAGACTACAGCAGGCTGTGAGATCACGTTAGCTGCAGACACGGTGAGAGTGAACGGAGTCAAACCGACTGTCCTAATCACAGATCAACTGTGTGCTGTTACACTAAAAGTAAAAGTGTGTGTGTGTGTGTGTGTGCGTGCGTGCGTGCGTGCGTGCGTGCGTGCGTGGCGCAGTAGCAGTATTCTCCGTTCACTCTCGACGTGTCTGCAGCTAACTAACGCTTGTAGATGCACGCATACGCACACCTCCAATAACACACAGTCTACTATATTAAGTGTTTCAAATTGTCGAAGTTAAATGTTTTTGTGGATTAAAGAATATTTATTATTCTCAGATAGACTTTTGTTTTTAGTCTGTAATGTAGGCTAATGCAGGGCGACTCAGGGGGGAGCAGTACAAGGCAATGAATCTAGCTGAAATGTTTTCCAAGGTGACTTAATAAGTACATTCATATAACTGCTTTGGGGTACATTTTTAATGTAAACCTAAACCTTTTTAATATGTTTTCTCTGAGAATCCTAATCATATTGAAACAGAATTGGTGTTGTTACTGAAATATTCCTAAATATATTGAAATCGAATCGGATCAGGACAATCAGTGGTGATACCCAGCCCTACATAGCATAATGCGCGAAGCAATTTTTATGAATAAATGAAAAATTAAACAAAAACAGGTTGGAAATATACTTGGGCGGCCCGCTCAGGTATCATCTATTTGTGGGGAAAACTGCGTTTGTCAGCGCCTCAGTCGACAGTCTCTCAGCGAGCATAAGGATTGTTCCACTCCAGCTCTATGGGGGTGTTTAATGTCTGACTTTACACAGATTTGTCTGTTTTCTCCAAATAAATGATGGTTCATATTCTATCTATGCCTACCACTCTCACTTTAATGCAGACTTACTGAGTGACAAAAAGGATTGGATCAGGTTCTATAGGATAAATATTGATTTCAGTTCAGAAGAAAAAACTGTTTAACGACATGAACTCAAATGAGGATGTGGATCAATAAGCGCAAAAAACCAACAAAACTTTTGACTATCAGTCGACAATAAGCTAAATGTGACGAACCAGGTTCCACAGTGTAAATCCTTAGTCAGTGACCGGCCCAATAGTAAGTACACTTCTTCTATATTAATTATAAGCACAAAAAGTCGAGGGCTTTAGTGCTCTGATACAGACGGATATATGTCAGGAGTTCTCATAGTAAAGAGTCTTCTGTTTGATTTGTAAAAGTGGTGAGACAGAATCTGAAAATGGGCTGTGTGAATGATGAAATTTAAGTTTATAATATCACTGAGCGATCATTTTAGATGTGACTATGTTTACTCCCATTTTGTAATCCTTGAGTTGGGTCATGTTTCTGATGTATTCTCTCTCCTGTTAGTCCGTGTGATGATGCAGCCCAGATCTGATGACGAGGAGCTCAATGAAGACGTTACATCTGATCTCTTGGAGGGTGAGAACACTTTCTTTCTTATTGTTTGTAAGCCTGAAGAAGAAGGTATCTCTACATTTTAGAATAAAGTAAGTAGGGCTGAGCCCATGTAGTCGAGTACTCCATGATTGGTTTGTCAGCGCCTCAGTCGACAGTCTCTCAGCGAGCATAAGGATCGTTCCACTCCAGCTCTATGGGGGTGTTTAATGTCTAATTGGCTCATAGTCTATCTATGCCTTCCACTTAGTGTGAACATGAATAAATCACCCCAAAGCTTTGACAGAAGCAGCAGATCCTTGTTTAGAGAATTTTATTGGCTACAAGAGATGTCAGTCATCGGCACAGTCGCGTGCTATTGGCCGTCAGAACAGGAGGAGGCCCCTCCTTCAGTGTTTCCCCTCGGTGTACAGCTTTGGGTGGGTTGATCAAGGTGTTCATGTGTTTCTTTAATGGCAGCAGTCAATCAGGGCCGTAACCAGGGTTTAGAAAACAAATGCAACTCGAGCTAAACAGCCGACCAACACAAACTCACACACATACTTCCTGTTTGTAAAGTGAATGATCTGTCGATCACATGCAGCCCGATCCACAGGTGATGATCCCAACAGAGCACCCATGACGTTTCAAAGTAAACATTGCTCTATTTGCTGTTTTATAGTCAGCACCATGGACTGGTTTCTGGCTCCCCCAGAACATTTTCAGCAGCTCACTTTTCTTTTCCTGCAATCTGATCAGTTTTGATTCAGTCGTTTGTGTCTTTTCTGCAGAACTTTATGATTCTAATCTCGTCTTTTTGTCCTGTTTGTGTCTTATACACAGTAATAAAATAATGAAGTCATTCAATTAATACTTTTATAAACATGTGGACTGGACAGTTGTCTCTGCACTATTTCAGCCCTGCAAAGATTCTTTTAACAAGTAGCCTACAGTGTATGTAAAGCTTATAATTTATGACCTTATCTTGTTTATGCTCTGATAAGAATGGCAAACTGTGAAAATGTAAAGATGATCCAGATTGTGATTAATTTTCTGTGACACATGGTCATACAGAGGTCTTATTGTGATATTTTTTTCTGGGTTGCTGTTCTTGTTTTAAGAGGGATTACTTTGATGACTATCGCTCGAGAGAGAGAGAGAGAGAGAGAGAGAGAGAGAGAGAACATTGCCAGTGTGACGCGCTGTGAGTCTGCAGATATGTCCACTTAAGGACAGGACGCTTAAAGGGCTTGAAAGTCAGCGAGAGATCCCTCACACACGTGATGGTCCGACAGTGGGACAGCTCGAGCCCTCACAGATTTAGAAGGACCGATCATCAAAGTCAGTGAGTGTGTGAGGGCGGATTGTGTCTGCAGGGCCCTTCACTCATGCCCTTTTATGGGCATTGATGGGCGGTTACCTATGCTAATTGGGAACAACAGGAACACACGTTCAACTTACGAAGGACAAGGAGATAAGGACACAGCTGCAAATATTCAGTCAAGCACACGTTGGTGAATGTGACCGAGAGTCTTCTTAGAAATCTTCTTAAGAACAAAAAACTTTGTGGCTCCAACGGGGAATATCCAGAGTTGAAAAAATGGTCCTAAATTTATGATCAAACTCACAATAGAACCATCAGTGCACCATGTAGGTCCTCAAACTGCTCACTAACTGTTTTTACAAACTCAATTTTAAAAGATAGAAATAAATGAGAATGTATTCTATGTATGGAATCTTCTGTAATCTTCTGTTTGTGTTCTCTCCTACAGAGACAGACCATATGAAGGACACCCCGGAAAGGAATCTGACTGATGAAGGGTTTAAATAAAACCTTTTTTAAAAGGGTTGATGAACACAGGGATTGACCTCATGAATGTTCATCTTTGTTCCCACACACCTTGAATACGTGCCTTTCTGTGTTATTGCTCTGATTTTATTTAATGTCTGCACCTTCCTGTTTTATGTCCCTTTTTTTAAAGATAAATGAAACAATACGTACATGTAGCATCTGAAGACAGCTTCATGCCTAACAAAAGCTACGTATCAATCTGCTGTTGGAAAAACACTTTTTTAGGGTTTTCACACCTGCAGAAACTCCTGATGTTTCCAGGCTGAGCGTCATGTGTGAACAGAAACAGCTGAATGAAGAGTGTCCCGCTGTGAGGTACATGTGTGAACAACCAGAATGGAAGAACATCCGGAGCAGTCCTCCTGAGATGATCTAGATATTTTCAGGAGTGCAGATGTGAAAACAGCTGATTTCTTTCCCGGTGTTACGACCTCCTTTACCAAAATAATAAATCAATGGCTCAAAACATGGAGACTGAAAACATAGAAGGACGCCACACAGATTTAAAAATTCAACCAAAGTATTACAAGGTGCTGAGCCAACCGCGTACTGGGTCGTCGCTCTTGGCTCCTCCCCCTAAAATGACCCAACAAAATGCCCGGGTCTCTCCTACCTGCCTCTAAATACAACTCCTCTTTCCTGAACATAGATTGTACTCAGGTGTGCAGCAGGTAGAGGGAGACAGACAGAAACATTAAAACATTCAGTTTGATTCGTTCAGAGTTCCTGAAAATGTTCAATGAGCTCAACATGGACTTACTATCCACAGACTGAGACTCCACTGATCTGTTATATTTTTAAATGTCAGGAGGACTCATAAGAAGTTGATCATGTATCTGGAGCTGGAGGCATGTTTCTCATTTTGTTTTTTTGTATGAACCTCTATTTAGTCAAGTTATGAGGCTTGTACAGATTTTTGCTTGATTATTCAAATTGCAAATGTAATGTGAGAAAAATGTGAATGTGTCTGTTGTGTGAATCCTTAACTTTGTGTACCAGAGCAAGTGCTTTTGATATTTTCATTTTTATATAATTTATGTGACTTCCAGTTCAGATTTTCATCAATCATGACACCTAAGAACTTAGTTTCCTTTACTCTTTGAATTTCCATACCTTCTACATTAATTAAAGCATCAGTGCTTTCCCCTCTATTACTGAATATCATGAAATTTGTTTTTTCAAGATTCAGTGATAATTTATTTATAATAAACCATTCTTTTATTTTCTTCAATTCATTTTTGACCACATCCAACATCTGTGATATGTTATTCCCAGAATAAAATAAGGTGGTATCATCTGCAAATAGAATACACTTGAGCAGTTTGGATACATTCACAAAATAATTGATGTACAAAATAAACAGTTTTGGTCCTAGGACTGACCCCTGAGGTACCCCAAAATGAATGTTGTAAAGATCACATTTTAAATTATTTATCTGAACGAACTGTTTCAAAGTGCTTTATAACTGCTGTGAACATAAATAATCAAAGTGCTTTATGACTGCTGTAAACATAAATAATCAAAGTGCTTTATGACTGCTGTAAACATAAATAATCAAAGTGTTTTATAACTGCTGTAAACATAAATAATCAAAGTGCTTGTAGCTCTGAAAGGTTCAGAATAACCAACATGTAGAATTAAAACCATGAAACTTCAGTTTATGCTGAAAATAAATGATGAGTGAATATTTTGCAGCTGAAGTCAAATATAATGTGATGAAGGTTTTATTTTTGTGTTACTGATATTAATAATGATGAGTCTGTGTGAAGTGAACATTAGAACCTTCAGGATTTATTAACCAGCGACCCCTCTCATCCCCTGCACTCCCAGTTTAGGTTTCAGACGCTTCAGACTGCCACGAGTCACAGACCATGATTACAAACAATCACTGGTCCCAAGTGTGATTCCATTATTACATTTATAAAGTCAAAAAAACATAACCCCCCCCCATACCCCAAACTTTACTGCTCAGAAAATGTTGTCTTGTTTGTCATCATGTTTTCTTTGTTGTGAAGACAAAGACAGTTTTCCACATGGTGACAAAGAAAGTCCTAACCTGTTTGAGGACTGTTGATTCAGACTGCTTTAGTTTGAGCCCGGTGTAAACTGGACTCTGACTGTTTCCTGTTGTTGACTGAGAGGTTTGACTTCATCAACGTTCATGTCTGTTCACGCTGTAGACTGATGATGATGATGATGATGATGATGATGATGATCTTGGAGGTATCAAGTCATTTCACACAGAGCTTCTTCATTTCTGTACAAACGTTTGAATAAAACATGAAAAATGTCAAACTGTGTCTTCTGACTGTCGAACACTGAAGTGATTTTTACTGACAAGAAACAAACAAAGCAGCTGCTCTCAGAGTTTAATTCACACACTTTAACTTTTGTCCTCTGACTTGATTTGAGGATAACAAGAGGAAACTTTACAGACTGAATAACGTGAGCAGTGTAAATAAATACTACACGCTGTAGGCTTTTATGAAAATGTAAATGTTAGGAAGGGTTCAAATTTATTGGGTGACTATCACCATGGGCCTCGGGTCAGGATGCATGAACTTCAGTTATGGTTTATTTCTTTAAATTCAAGTCAAAGGTTCAATAAAGGGGGAAACAAAAATGAAATAAACACACATAGTTCAAACTTCAGAGTGAAGGTGAAGAGGAGCGAGAGCAGTCTTTAAATGAGCAGTGATCAGGTGAATTCTGATAGAGGACAAACAACAACCAATCAATGAAGGGGAAGGAGAAACCAGGAAGTGAACTGAGGTAGGTGAAGAAGGGAAGTGAGATAAAATAGTGATCTTCACTACAGTAAATTAACTCTAAAAAGACTGTTATAAACTTCCAGGTGGGATTAAGGGTTAAGTGTTGCTTTATGTGTTGATTCAATTATTTAAATATATAAGTTTAAGATAGTTTCAACATAGGAGCTCGACAAACGGGATGTTTTCTAGAGACTTGGCTGCATGAAAACTCGCCATCTGCAGCATTAGAGGTACCTGGCTATCAAATCTTCAGAAGAGATAGTGACATCAAAGGGAGGCGGGGTCATGGTTTATGTGAAGGATAGTATTCAATGTAATGAATTAACTTGGTCAAATTGTGAGCTGAATGTATTGGCTTGAATATCACTTTGTCACCACAAATGTCTTTTGTCCTGATTGTAATTTACCGCCCACCCTCTGCAAATAATGCATTTTATGAAAAGTTCCAAAACATGCTTGTAGAGTGCAATTTTAAAAAAGAGGTGATAATAATGGGCGATTTTAATGTTAATTGGGAAGATAAGGCTACTAGAAAGAACCTCAAACAAATAACTGATGGTTTAGATCTCTCACAGCTGATCAAGGGTCCAAGAAGAATAACCCAATCCACCAGAACTCAGATTGACTTGGTATTTAGTAACAGACCTGAGAGAATGACTAAATCTCTCAATATGATCACTGGGATATCTGACCACAATCTTATTCTGGTGATCAGAAAATTAACAAAAATGAGATTTAGCCCCTCAATTGCCAAAGAGAATGAATCTCTTAGAATTCCTAAGAACAAGCAGGAATGTTTTAAAAACACTATAAATAGCGTCAATTGGAATGATTTGCTCTTCGGAAAAAACTTGCAGGAGGGCAGTCAAATATTCTCAAGTAAAGTGCATAGTGTCATCACAGAATTCTCCCGTAAGTTTAAGTATAGGAATAAAAAGAACAGTCTTCCCTGGATAAATGCAGATATTTTAAAACTGATGAAAGAGCGAGATCTGGCACTGAAAATGGCCATTAAGACCAGATTGTTCCACGACAAATTCATTTTGCCATGTTAAGAAATAAGGTGATAACAGGGTTGAGGAAGGCTAGGGCTGATTCTTTTATGACAATAATTAATGAGGCGAGGGGAAACTCTAAATTAATATGGAGTCAGTTAAAAAAGCTCCTGGGTCAACAAACCAAAGCAGGAAAACAAATTGAACTTAGCCTGAATGGAAACCTGACGAAGGACCCAGCTGAAGTAGCTGGAGCTCTTAATCGATACTTTGTCGATTCTGTAGCAACTATTGCACAGAGCTTCTCTGCTAAGCAGGTTAATCTGTGCTTGGCAAACAAAACAGAGCCAGCTTTCCATTTTATAAATGTTAGTGAATCAAAGATCACAGAAATTATTAGATCCCTCAAGCCATCAAAAGCAAAAGATGATTTTGGGATGGACACAACAATGGTTAAGGATCTTGGTGCAGCATTAGCCAAACCCATCACCAAAATCATTAATCTCTCAATATCACAGGGTGAATTCCCAAGGGTGTGGAAATCTGCCGTTATTTCACCAATGTACAAATCTGGTGATCCCCATTCACCCTGCAATTATAGGCCCATCAGCATTCTTCCTATTATGTTTAAAGTTGCAGAGAAATGGGCGGCTGAGAAAATTATACATCACCTGAACAACAGCTCTTATCACCTGCATCCAATGCAGTTTGGATTCAGATCCAACCACTCAACAGAGACAGCTAACTGCTTCCTCATTGAAAAAATCAAATCACTGCTAGATAACCGTGGCATTGTTGGTGCTGTCTTTCTGGATCTCAGAAAAGCATTTGACACTGTAAATCACAGGGTTCTTCTATCTAAGTTATCCACTTTTAATTTCTCTGCTGATGCACTTAAATGGGTAGAATCATATCTCTCCAACCGCTCTCAAAGTGTGTGAATACTTAATTATCAATCTGACGCCCTCTGCTTGTCCACGGGCGTTCCGCAGGGATCTATACTGGGCCCACTTTTATTCTTCCTGTATGTAAATGACCTGCCATCTGTGTGTCCTGAGGTTAACATTCAAATGTATGCTGACGATACAGTTTTGTATGTGCATGGTTTAACAAAAGCAGAAGTTGCTTCAAAACTAACAACCGCAATGGTCAAAATTACAGCATGGCTTAATCAGTGCTGTCTCCAACTTAACGTGTCTGAAACTGTTGGTATGTTCTTCACTAAAACAAATGACTCAAACCAGATATCCGATCCAGATATACTTGTGTCAGAAGAAAAACTACAGATTGTAAAAGAATTCAAATACCTTGGCATTATACTTGACTCCAACCTGAACTTTAAAGCACATGTAAAAAAAAGTCTGTAAACAAATTAAATTTAACCTTGCCAACTTCAGATTTATCAGAAACTCCATGTCTACTGAAGCAGCCAACATGTACATGCATTCAATGATTTTCTCATATATGACCTACTGTATGACAAGCTGGTCTCAGGCAAGTCCACCACATTAAAACCACTACAGTCTTTGTATAAACAGACAATAAAAGTTTTAGACAAAAAACCAAAGCAATTCCACCACTGTTCAATCCTCAGAAAATACAACCTCCTGAGCTGGGAGAACATGATTAAACACAAAAATGCTCCTTTATAAAATCTCACATGGTTTGGCCCCTCCCCCACTCAGAGAGTTTGTAAGCATATGAACAAACACACATCACTTCAGGAGGGGTGTCTCAAGAGGCGACTGCATTATTCCTCTAAGGAAGTGTGTTTTTAGTCAGTCGGCCTTTTCTGTTCCAGCCTCACGTGAATGGAACAACATCCCAACAGTTATCAGAGAGAGCAACACATATCGTTCATTTAGTTCACATCTGAAACACTGGCTATTTGATAACCACATCTGCCAGCACTAAACCTGTTCCGCTCGCTGCTGCCCCCTTGTGTCTGGTTGTTGATGAATGTGTCCTGTTTTTTAAATGAATGTGTCCTGCGTGTTGTTGTCTGTTGAGGTGAGCTTCAGGTATAGCTCACTCAATGTTTTTTATGTGGCCTTGTGTAATTTGTAATTTCTACGTGTTTATTGTATATTGTGTTACATGTTGTTTTGTTGTGTGCACGTTACAGTTACTTTAGTAGGTTATTGGATACGTGCTTTTACTAATACTTGTTTTTGTAGCTTTTAGCAATGTTTGAAT